TCATGTTAATTTATTTTCGTTCAGGCTCAATTTCGACATCGAAATTTCACTGAATACATGCGTTCGTTAATTTATAGAGATGTACTAAATGAGAAAGATACAATTATACAAATAGCACGTTGTTCATTTGATCTTCATTTTCAAGATATTATAGGCACATTAACAACTGGTGCTACACTGGTAATGCTTCATCCAGGAGGAATAACCAATTTTCACTATCTGATTGATGTCATCAATAAGAAGAATATATCATGCTTAAGTACAGTACCAACCATTCTTCTACATTTATTAAACTTTTTACAGCAAGCTAATTATCCCAAAACTATAAAAAGTTTAAGATCAGTTTGTAGTGCCGGTATGTAACCTTCATCTAATACGTGAATTTTATGTCACCCTTTTCTACCTTTACAGGTGAACCTTGTTCCGTCACTCTGGTTAACTTAATTTTAGCTTCCGTCGCGTGCTGTTGTCGACTGTGGAATTTATACGGTCCAGCTGAAACCACTATAGTCTGTATTTTACATAAAATAGATTCTATAACCAAGACGCAAACTATTCCTCTTGGTAAGCCTCTTTCTAATTACCAATGTATGATTATGAATGGATATTCACAACCATCTGTCATCGATGAAGAAGGTGAACTACTTATAGGTGGGGTAGGTGTCTTTGCTGGTTATCTTGGACGTTGTGATTTAACAGTAAAAGCTCTCGTTGAAATAGATGGTCAACTATTTTATCGAACAGGTGATCTTGTTACAATGGATAAAAACGGTCTTCTCCATTATCAAGGAAGAAAAGATCATCAAATCAAACTTCATGGACAACGAATTGAACTTGGTGAAGTCGAAAGATGTTTACTTAGTATTGTATCCATCTCTACTTGTGTTGTCATGAAATGGAATGATGATTATTTAGTTGCATATGTTCAGTCATCTTCTCATGTGAATGAAGACGAAATACGTCAACATTGTCAATCTCATCTTCCACCACATATGATTCCATCCATATTTGTTATACTTGATAAACTACCTTTGAATCCAAATGGAAAAATAGATCGAAAGCTTCTTCCTTTACCTCACTTCTCATCTACAAATGTCGCAAACACTAGAGAACTATTACTACCAACAAATAATATTCAAGTTA